CAATAGGCCTACATACCATGGGCAGGGGCAGGACAAAGGGTAGTGACATTTTCCTCCTCCATGCTAGCAGACAGATTGCACTTAACTACAGAGGTATCCCTAGTCCCTCCAATCTATGAGGACATCACTGGATGCTCTTTAAACGAAAATGCAGTGCACGCCCTCCTCAAGCTTTTTGGGTACGCTAGGGATGGAGAGAGAAAGGCCAGGCCCTTCTTATCCACATGCTCTTAGTTCCTGCCTAAACTGCAGGCTTGTTCTACTCCTCCCTGCCATCACAAGGGCTGTTCCCTCGGCCTGGAATGCCCACTCCCTCTCTCTCCCATTACCTCCCACACCCAGCCGTCACCTCCCCGGGGAGCCTTCCTAGCCTTCCCAGGCTCCTGAGGAGGCGACCCTGTGTGGTAGATGGAATGGACACACCTAGCCACCAGCCTGACTTTCCTTGGGCTTTGAGCTTCGTTTCCTGTTGGTGGGAGGGGACGTAGGGCTGTTCTGAACACTAAATGTGGTACAGTGGATCTGGCATGAGTGGGTCCCGAGACCATTTTCTCCCATTGCATCCTCCCACCCTGGACAAGGAGGAGTGTGCCCACTTTTAATTAGGAGGCCCAAGTAACCGGCAACCCCAACGCAGAGCAGGTGTTCCCTCCACGGTGAATGAGCCCCCATTTCACTGCCCAGGAAATCCAGCCAGTAGGGGTAATATGGAGCTTCCTGCTTTCCAAGCCTCTTGGCCTCTCAAAAGACAAGGAATTGGCACCGTCTTATTAATGATCAGACTAGAGCAGACTGAAAACGCTTATTTGGACCCAAGCCTCATGTCCCTAACTTGCACTGCGAGTATCTCCTCCCTACTCCCTGCATCTCAGGCTCTGTCCAGGCTCATAGCCAAAGTCTAACTCTGCCTGTGCCCAGGCCTGCCCTACAGGCCTCTTCAGAGTCCACACTCCCTGAAACCCTTCAGCGGGGCCCAGGACTGCTTTGCCTGACTTCTGCAAAGGACAAGCACCACCTGAGCCCCTCCTGCAGCGGCTCTCACTAACCAAGAGGGCTCACAAATTCAGTCCATCCGCACCTGCACAAGAACCTTGCCTGGGAGTTAGCTGGCCTTTCCTTTCTGAGTCCCCATCCAGTATCCACTTAAAAGGGAACGTAACTCATTGACATTGAAATGGTGACCACCGCACACCTGCTTTCAGGCTGTTGAGTGGGGGTGGAGGGGACGGAGCCATCATTTACCAGACACCCGCGATAAATTCAGGCGCTCCTCGAGCACCCGCGGGGTACGTCCCAGAATTAAAAGGCTCGTGGTCCTCCTTTGTCAGCCTCAGCCCGAAGGGTCTGCTATCCTACGGGGAAGCCTCCACTGCCCTGCCTCGGCTCATCCTCAGCCCTCCCCCCGCCACCACGCCACGGGACAAAGACCCCACCAGTGGCCCTGGGAGGGCGGGGAAGGGGCCGGCCGGCCCCGACAGACGGCGGCGGCGGCGGCGGCGAGGGGGGGGCGCGGGGGGGCGGGGCCACC